GCGTCGCGTCGCCGATGCATCGGGAACTTGGGTCGATATGTCGATATGTAAATTGCTTTTCTCCACCCAGACGTCGCATCGCCGACGTTTCTGATGCATCGGGGATGCATTGGCTATGCGGCACGATCCTCCGACCCCATCTGCTCGGACCCCAGTCAGGAGGCCTCTACTGTACACCAGTAGGGAAGACCTGCTTGCTCATGTGGGAGGACTCTATTCAATGGTTCAACTATGGGGTCCTGAGGGATGGGGGCCTAAGTATAGGAATCTAAGGATGGATGTCCGTTAATTGGTCAGCATCGTCTCACCAACTCGCATCCCAGTCCCCAACCCGATCCCCACCATTCCACCACCACAGCTGGGGCTATAGTTGTCGAAACCCGAAGGATGCAGCCTACACCTCCACCTAGGGGGGGGGGGGGGGTAAAATCGGCCACTGGGACCCAGGCCACGCCCATGGGGATAGGGGTCGGTTACCCTCCCCCTCATTATTCCGCGGAGGTCGGGAGGTATGGCAGGTGGAAGCGGAGGGAACTTGGACCCCACGGAAAGGATTGCGAGGCGAGGGGGCCGGCGTGGGGAGAGGAGCGAGGAGGCGGGCGCTCGTGCGGAGCGTGGGGAGAGGAGAGAGATCGAAGCGGATCGGGAAATGGTGAGCTGTGCTCGAAGGGCAAGCAATACATATATATATATATATATATATATATATGTAGAGAGAGAGGGAGGGCAGGCGATGCTCGCAGGACAGATGGGGGCCGGAGGCCGAGCCATGCCCGCAGAGCAGAGGCCGCGCGATGCCCCGCGCTGCCCCAGGAGCTCCTGCCGCCCTCGCCCGAGCCCGTGGCGCGCCAGTCCACCGGCGGCCCGCCGCCGGGCCCGCCCCGCCCCTGGCCGCGGGAGGGGGGGGGCCTCGGGGGCCGCGCGAGGAGGAGGAGGAGGTCCGAGGATGTGGAGAAAATTCGAGGATAGAAAGGATGTGCGAGGACACACATATATATATATATACACATGTAAATATAAACATATATATACATATGTATATATAGAGATATATGACAGATACTTGATATATATATATATATATATATGTATATCAGGATATATATATATATATATACGTATAGAGAGAGAAAAGGAAATGAGGTTCGAGGATGGAAAGGAGGTTCGAGGTGATGAGGAGGTGGTTCGAGGTGGGGAGGTTCGAGGATCGAGGCTCGAGCATCAGGGAGAGTCGAGGTTCGAGGATCGAGGCTCGAGCATCAGGGAGAGTCGAGGTTCGAGGGTCGAGTATCGAGGAGGAGGAGGAGGAGGAGGAGCAGAATCGAGGCGGAGGAGGTTCGAGGGTCGAGGGTCGAGGGTCGAGGGCCGAGGGCCGAGGGCCGAGGTCGGAGGATGGAGAGATACCGATGCCGCTGCCTGTCCCTCGTCGTCACGGCTGGATTCGCCGCGAGACCCTGGTCGGGACGCGCTCTTGGAGAGGCCTGCGGAGTACAGTCGAAGTTGATGGCAAGGACGGGTAACGTCCACAAGGGTATCCTTGTTGGGGAAGCGTAAGACAAGAGTACGCCAGAACACGGGATCGCCTACGTTTTTTGTGTCGAGCGCGTCATGGATTCTGACGGTCCAGTTTTCGTGGGATGTCTGCAGCGGGAGGTCGTGTCGAATTTCCGATTTGGTCTCGTCAGGTTATTTCGAGTCCTCTGAACCCGAGTCTCACGTCTCCCCGACCTTGCATCCTTGCCTCCTCGGTCCATCCTTAATCCCTTTCGATGGCCAGCCCCGCTCGAAAAGCTTGGACATGTGCGTCCAATAGCCAGGACCCCTGTGAAGGGGAGCCGGTTAGTGAAAGGGCCCCGAAGCCAACACATCAGCCGGGATCTTTGAACCAGGTCTGGCGCAAAATCGTGGTTTTCTCGGGCGGCGGCGGTTTGTTTGGTTAGCAGAATGGGACGGGGGAGGCGCCCCCAAGCACACATCTTTAAGCCAGGTCCCTCTCAACCCAGTCCCGCCAGAGCCCGATAGGGGGGGGGATGCATCGATCCCCCATCCCCCAGTGATCGCCGATAGAGGCCCGAGAGCCCCAGGCCACCTTGGACCGTGCCGCTTCGCTGCAGTCGTCGCAGTCGGCAGTGAGGATGGGTAACCATCCCGAGGGTACCCTTGCGTCTTCGCCTCCTCGGTGCCTCCTTGACCCCTATCGATGGTCAGCCCAGCTTCCAGAGGCTTCAACATGGGCGTCCAAGGGCCTCGCATCCTTCCTGCGCGTGCTTACTGACAACTTCGGGCTGTCCGGGTGGGTCGGCCCCCGGCGCGGAGGAGTAGGAGGAGGAGGAGGAGGAGGAGGAGGAGGAGGATGGAGGGGGAGGAGGGGGAGGAGGAAAGGGAGGAGGAGGAGGAGAAGGAGGAGGAGGAGGGCGAGGAGGAGGAGGGCGAGGAGGAAGAGGAGGAGGAGGGCGAGGCGAGCCAGTTGTGGCAGCGGTGGTTGGGCGTCGGGTGGCCCCTCGTCGCCGGGCTGGACGCAGCTCGGAGAACTGGTGCGTCGGGACCCTGGGAGGTGCCTGGGATCGATTCCGAGGTGCCGTTGCCTCAGCCCGCCTTGCTCCGAGCCCGACTCAGAGGCAAAGGCCCAGAGACTTTTTTTGTTGTTTTATTCAATCCGGGTGGTTTTCATTGGTGTCGGCTTCTAGGGCCCCCCATCGGGCCCCTGGACCTAGGAAAAAGGATCCGGGACGAAGAACTACCCACAGGGAAGAGGTCGGGACCTTTGAGAGGCCGCGCATTGACAACACATAGCGTCGGATTTCTTGGGAGGGGGGGAGACAACGTCAGAGGTGGGAAGGCTCTGGGGGCGGGGATACCTGGATCACCGCGGGGGTTGCTTAGGGGATAGCGGTTGATATTTCACTTTTCCGCGTTGAAGAGGGCAAAACTAAGGGCGGGTTCGCGGGGCTGGGGCCCTGACCGTGATGCGTCGTAGCAGTTGATTCGGTCTGTCTCGCACCGGAGGGATGGGGGGCCTCCTTTGGTGAGTGTATGCCAGAGTGTGTGGGCCTGCGTATGCTGTCCGCTTGCGGTCCACGTTCTCGCGTTAGGTTCGCCGCCCTGGCGGCCGTGCGTGTCCTCTGTAAGCTGCCCGCTGGGTGTCCGCGTTGACCGTGTAAGGGTTTCGGCTGACGGGTCTGATCGTTCGCTTTCCGGCCGTGTAAGCCTCACCGCAGCTGCCTTGTCACATTGGAGCCTTGTGGGTACGCTGCCGCAACAGTTGTATCCTTCAGCGGCCCCGCCGAGAGCTTTCCGGGGGCCTGTGGTATCGTATCCTTCAGCGGTTCTGCCGTAAGCTTTCCGTGGGCGAGCAGGTACCCAGCGGCCTTGGAAGATACGGAGTCTCCGACATCGTTATCCGTCTGCAGGGGAGGGGCCCGTAGTCAGCTGGGCCCAAGTTGCGATTCGTTGCCCCCCCCCGCCCTGAACAGCGGCATTGGCTTGGCTGTTCTGGGTTCGTCGGCCGTGCATTGTACTCCGTCTGGTTGCAGCGGCCTACTTAGTCGTGCACGCCCCGTTGTCGGGGCCTGCTGCAATGTGGCCCCTCAAGCAGTAGCCAAGGCCTGGGCCTCGCCCAGCTCGGTGGCTCCCCGGGTGGGCGGGCTGCCACTGGGGCCCATCTGCGGAACGGGAGATTGACCACAGCCACTGCTTCTTGCTTGCGCCGCCGTCCAGCCGGCCGAAAAAGAAGGCAGTGGCTGGTGTCATGTTCCTGGTGCCGAGCTAAACGAAAATGACCACAACCATTGCTCTGTTTCTGCTGGCTGGAAGGCGGCAACAACAGAGAAGCAGTGGCTGTGGTCGTGTTCACGTCCCGTACCACCAGCGCTGTAGCTGATGGGCCTGTTTTCCACACCATCCGCCGCCCCTCGTTGATGAGTGTTGGTTTGAGTTTTTACCTAACAGCTCTTGCTGATAGGTTTCTAGTGGTCTCAAAAGAGAGCATCATGACTCCTCAGGGGGGTCTGGGCGGGACCCGGATCGGCTGCCGCCGAAGCCCAAATCGCTTGGGACATCCCTCGCAAAATCGCTCTTGGTGCTCCCAGAACTCCATTCCCGGGCCACATTTTGGATGCCCGGAGCCAACTGTAGGCCACTTCGTGCTTTTCGACTTCCCAGAACTCCATTCCCGGGCCACATTTTGGATGCCCGGAGCCAACTGTAGGCCACTTCGTGCTCTTCGATTTCCCAGAACTCCATTCCCGGGCCACATTTTGGATGCCCGGAGCCAACTGTAGGCCACTTCGTGCTCTTCAGTTCCCAGAACTCCATTCCTGGGCATGATTTTGAATGCCCGGAGCCAACTGTAGGCCACTTCGTGTTCTTCTAGTTCCCAGAACTCCATTCCCGGGCCACATTTTGAATGCTGAGGCAGGCTGATGCTGCGGCCGAGGCAGGCTGAGGCTGAGGCAGGCTGAGGCTGAGGCTGAGGCGAGGCTGAAGGCAGACTGAGGCTGAGGCTGAAGCAGGCTGAGGCTGAGGCTGAGGCAGGGCTGATGCTGAGGCAGGCTGAGGCTGAGGCTGAGGCTGATGCAGGCTGAGGCTGAGGCAGGCTGAGGCTGAGGCCGAGGCTGAAGGCAGACTGAGGCTGAGGCTGAAGCAGGCTGAGGCTGAGGCTGAGGCAGGCTGAGGCTGAGGCAGGCTGAGGCTGAGGCTGAGGCAGGCTGAGGCTGAGGCTGTGACTGCGACTGCCGTTGCCGCTGCGACTGTCATAGCGAATGCGACTACGACTGCGAGAACAGCAGAATTCGACAACTGGATTTTCATCTGAATCTTAAGGGGAATGCTTTCAGATATGCTTCTACACATCGCTGTTAGGTTGCTTTGCCGGGATAATTTTTCAACAAAAACTCCCCTTGGGGCTCCGGCGCGTCCCGCCGGGGTCCCGGGAGGGAGTTCCAGGCCCGCAAACGACCTCAACGTCCGCAAAACATTCTCCAAGTCGGCTCAAGATGGCCTCCAAGATGGCCAAGATGGCCTTCAAGATCGCCCAAAATCGACAACCTCGGGGTGATGGGTTTCGACGGCGCAGATGTGTCCTCGAGCCTCGCCGCCGCCACCGCGAGGTTCGACGCCGCGGGCCTGAGGACGCACTAGACGGACATCCAGAGGGGCCGCGGCGTGACGCTGGGCTGCGTGCTGGACGGAGTCTCGCTTGCCACCAGGCTCACGGCCAAACGCTACTGGCGGGTGCGACAAGGTGTTTCGTGGGCCCTGAGCTGCAGGTCCCTGCCAGGCTGGACATGGGAGATCGTCCTCGGCCACTGCACTTACTGCGCCATGTGCAACCGCGACCTCCTCCCGGTCTTCAACGCGATGTACAAGTTCATAGCGGCCCACTACCAGGAGGCCGCGCCGCTCTGGCCCACGGCGCGGGCCGAGATGGTTGCCTTCCGGGGCCTGATGCTCTTGCTGCGCGGCGACTGGGCGCTCCCGTGGTGCCCACTGGTCTGCCTCTCCGACGCGTCTGAGCACGGCTACGCGGTGAGCGCCTCGCTGTTCGAGCCGGCCGCTGTGAAGGAGATCGGGCGGGTGCAGGGGCGATCCCGTTTCTGCCGCCTGGGCGGCCATTCCGCTCGGGCCCATTTCTTCGCCAGCAACGGCATCGTGATGACCAGTGCAGGGACGTTCAAAGATGCTGCCGATCTTGGTGAGCATGACGAGGTTGCGCCCCGGACTCAGTGGGGGCTTGACAGAACTTTCAAAGAGATGGCAGCGGAGATCTTCTCAGGGTCCCGCTGGACTGAGATAGTCGCCCGTGGGTGGCTTAATGCTTCAGACATTCTGGTCTACGAATCACGTGCCCTCCTGCGAGCTGTAGAGATTGTGCAGCCTGTCGCCGCGGGAGGGCGAGCATGCCGTCGTCATGAGCGACAACCTGCCCGCAGTGCTGTGTTTTGAAAGGAGGAGAGCAAAAAACTTGACTGTCCTCGCATGTATTCGTCGGGCTGTCGCCCTTTGCCTCTCCCTCAACAAGCGCCTGCACGTGAGATGGGTCCCGAGCGAGCTCAACCCGAGTGACGAGGGCTCTAGGCTATACGACCCGAGCTACGACCCCGGTAAGACCCTGGTGCACTCTTGGGAAGCTTCTGAGGGCTACGGCAAAGCACTTGTGAATCGCAGGCTACCCCAGCATGTACATGAGCAAGACAATGCACACATCAAGACGACGCACTACTGCAAGCACGTGGATACGGAGAACTGCAAGTACGACAAGTTTGGCAAATATGAGAGCACGAGCAAGCACATAGTCATGGGCCTCACCAGTACCTCAGCCACTACGAGCACGAGCCCAAGAACAGCCCCGCAGGCCCTCGACGAGCCCACCGAGACCCCCGGCATTCCAGACCCTCAGGACCTCCACGAGCCCCAGAGGAGCCAGCTTGCCGCCGTCGCCACCTCGGCTCCCGAGTGCGCCCCTGCGGTGGAGCCCCGGCGACCCGCCGCGGCGGTCGGCGATCAGGGGCGCGACGACCAGCGTGCCCATGGCGTCTGGCCCGCCGACCAGTCAGGGGCACTGTCGCCGCCTGGCAACGCCGCGACCGGCAGGAGGCTGCGCGCCCGCGCATGCCGCGCCCGAGACGCTTGCGAAGCGCTCGCGAGTGCTGTCGCCCGGGCCGGAGGGCCTGCCGAGCGGGCCACAGGCGCCAGCCAGCCAGACGCGGGCGCTGGGGGCGCTCCGGGACGGCGTGCGGCAGCGGCTCACCCTGGCCCCGCCCGCCTCAAGGGCCGCGGCGCGCGACCTAGAGTCGAACTGCAGCCCGGCGGGCGACGGCGAGGGCAGCGACGCCACGACCGTGGCCAACGAGGCAGAGGCAGCTCGCACCCGTCAGCTCCGCCAGACGGCCCGGCACCACGCCCGGGCAGTCGCCCGGGCCAAGGCGCCGCTCAGTCTGGCGGGGCTCACGCTGCTAGTGCGCTCGGCGGTGAGGCTGGGCACAGAGGAGCAATACCAGGTAGAGCTCAAGATCTTCATCGACGCCGCCAAGTAGCGCCAGCTCGTCGTGGACAGCGAGGTGGACGATGTGCTCGTGCACTACATGAACGCGAGCCGGGCCATCACTCGAACAAGGGCGACGTGCTGCTGTCGGCCTTGCTGCACTTCCAGCCCCAGTGCGGCAAGCTGGGGATCGCGCCCCCTCCGGGCCTGGCGATGCCTGAAGGGGTGGCGCCGGAGATGCGGGCGGCGCTCAAGGGACCCGGTCGCCCGCATGTTGTGGTCAGTTGTCGTCTGGGACCTCTGCTGCCGAGGTTACTGGCTCATGGGTGTGCACATCCTGTGGATGATTGTGACGCACTACCGCCCAAGCGAGTCGCTCACAATCCAGCGCCAGGGTCTCATCCAGCCAGCAGCGGGAAGCTCGAACGATTGGGGGGCGCTGCTGTTCTCGCTGTCAAGGGCGGCCACCCACAAGATGATGGGCCTACAGAACCGCCGCGGCGATCACATGGAGCTGAAAAAGCGAGGCGGCCGGCAATTCAAGAGCTCACTCAAGAGATACCAGAACGCCGCCAGGCTGAACCTGTCTGCCCCCCGCCTGCTGCCTTGGCAGGTGGCTGCCCCCCGAAAAGCGGACCAGTAACTCGAGGCTCTCTTCTTCGACCGCGCGGCCGCCCTGCCTCCTGTGGCGCCGCGAATCAACGCCGGTACTTTGCCGACCTGTTCTGTGGCGAGGGCGGCGTCGGGAAGGCAATTGCGCGCCGTGGTTTCCCTGCGCGACTCTGGGATCTTCCTTACAGCCAAAGCCTAGATCTCACCGATCACGCCGTGCTTCGCCGCCTGGAAGAGGATGCCCAGCATGGTCTGATCCTCGGTGCAGCGATCGCAACGGAGTGCACCAGTTTCTCGATAGCAAGAATGCGAACTCGTTTCATCAGAACCTCGTCACAGCCCTGGGGAGTTACAGACATATCAGAATTCAGTGTCAATGATCACGCCGCGCTACAGCGCGGCAACAAGCTGCTCAGGGCACCCCCCCGTATCATTCGTGCGCTAGACCTCTATCAGATACCTTGGTTTTTGGATAACCCTTATAGCAGCATGATGTGGAATACTCCTGCATTGCGGCGACGAGCTCTACGGGCTGCCGCCCAAGTCTCACTGGATTTCTGCAGCTACGGAACAAGGTGGCGCAAGAGGACCCATTTTTTGTTTGGGTACGTAGATGATGCGCGTCTAGAACCTCTGCGCAACCGCCTCTGTTGTGGAAAGGGATGTTGTTTTTATAGCGGCCGCCCACATATCGAATTGAGCGGCCCACACCCCAGCAGAGGCATCCCGTGGACAAAGGTGGCCGAACCTTACCCTACAGGTTTGTGCCGCGATCTCGCCGCCGCTCTCATTGCTGCTAGTTATCAGAGAACCTTCTTGTTTCGGGAAGTGATTTGGGGTGTTGTGGTGGCCGTCCTGCTTAGCACAGACCGCCATGTGGCCACGCCTCCGGCTGCTTTTCGCTGCCGGCCGAGCTCCGCCCGCCGTGCCGTGATCCTCGAGACAGATTCTCTTGCTCAAAATGTTGGGAATGGAGCGCTACCAGACATAGGAGTGCTTGCGCGGTATTGTCTGGGCCGCTCCATGGCTTTTCACCTTTCTCAAGTGCACCCGTGGCCTGCCCTCCGCCATCCGAGTGCGCTTCTCACTGTCCTTTTCAGCCTCGAAGCATTTTTGTGGTGGCCGTCCTGCTTAGCACAGACCGCCATGTGGCCACGCCTCCGGCTGCTTTTCGCTGCCGGCCGAGCTTCGCCCGCCGTGCCGCGATCCTCGAGACAGATTCTCTTGCTCAAAATGTTGGGAATGGAGCACTGCCAGACAATTTTCTTTCAGGGTTTTGAAGGGTTTGAACATTTGCTTCTTCTCGGCATTCCGACGGCTCAAGACGGCCCAAGAGGCCCTCAATATCGCCCCAAGATCGTCCACGAGGCCTCCAGAGAGGCCCCCAAGACGGCCCCAAGAGGGCCCCGAGACGGGCCAAGAGGCTTCCAAGTTGCCCAAGATGGCCTCTAAGACGGCCCTGGAGCACCCCAATAAGGCCCCAAGTCGGCCCAGAGAGGCCCCCCAAACGGGTTCCGACGGCGTCAGACGGGCTGGGAGCCCAGCAAGATTGCCGAAGTTGGCTCTAGGCCAGCCCAAGACGACCCAAGAGGCCTCCAAGAGGGCCCCAAGGAGGGCTCGAAGAGGCCAGAATCATTTGTGTTCCTTAGGTTTTTGAAGGATTGTGGCATTTGCTTCTTTTCGGCTTTCCGACGGCCCAAGAGCTTCAAAGATTGCCCCAAGATCGCCCAAGAGGCCTCCAAGCTGGCCCAAGACGGCCCCAAGATGCCCCCAAGACGGCCCCAAGAGGCCCCAAGACGGCCCAGGAGGCTTTTAAGATGCCCAAGATGGCCTCCAAGACGGCCCGGAGCATTCCAACAAGGCCCCAAGTCGGCCCAGAGAGGCCCCCCAAAAGGCTTCCGAGGGTATCAGACGGGCCAGGAGCCCACCAAGACGGCCGAAGATGGCCCCAAGATGGCCCAACACGGCCCAAGAGGCCTCCAGGAAGGCCCGGAAATGCCCAAATCATAGATTTTCCAAAAGTTTGGTGAAGGATTGTGGCACTTGCTTTTTCAGCTTTCCGACGGCCCGAGGCGGCCCAAAAGCCCCCAACGATCGCCCAAGAGGTCTCCAGTATGGCCACGGCCCAAGAGGCCCTCAAGACGACCCAAGAGGGCTCCAAAACACTCAAGATGGCCTCCAAAACGTCCATGGAGCACCCTAAGAAAGGCCCAAGTTGGCCCAGCCTCGACCACCGTGTTCCCCGAACGCTTTCCAAACCGATTCGGGGAACACACGGTCCGATAGCTTGGCAGACCTCTGGCCACAACGTTCGGCCACGTAGGCGTTTCCAAAAAGGCAGGGGGCGGCGGTGATTCGTCGTAGGCGTCTTCGATAAGTTCGGGGGGGAAAGGAGGAGGAGGACGAGGAGGAGGAGGGGGAGGACGGAGAGGAGGATGAGGCGAAGGAGGACGAAGAGGAGGAGGGGGGAGGAGGAGGAGGAGGAGGAGGAGGAGGAGGAGGAGGAGGAGGAGGAGGAGGAGGAGGAGGAGGCCCCCCTCCCTTCTCCAACTTATCGTTGTGGTGGTGGTGGAAAACAGGCCCCTCTGTAGCGGGGGCCTGGCCCCCGCCCACGACGGGGTTCCTGCGGAGGGGGGGGAATGCCCTTGGTAGCTGGCCGGTCTCCCGGCTGCCTTGGCAGAGGTGCTTCTGCAGGCATCGGGTGGCCGGAGGGCCCCCGAACAGGGTGGTGACCACACCGTGTGGTGAGTCGGTGGGGGTTCGGGGTCACCGCACGGTTTTGGCACTCGGGTCGTTCTCCGAGGAAGTCTCGGGCGACTGGGGCATCCGAGGTCCCAAAACCGTGCGTTGACGGACCGTGCGGTGAGGTTTTGGGGGATTTCGAGGTCACCGCACGGTCTGTCACCGCACCGTTTCGGGACTCGAAAGGGTGGGCGACCTTCGGGCCAGTCGCCACGCAGGGCCCGAGGCGTCTCCAGCGCAAGTAGCATGTTACTTGCTCCCGCGGACTCGACGCAGTTATGAGTGGATGCGAAGGTGGTTAACATGTGGCCTGACGCAGATTACAAGTGGGCTGCAAGTGCCCAGAGTCGTTTTGGGGTTTGCACAACTCCGCTAAGAGGGAGGACGCCCACTTAATTCGGATCCTCCCCGCCCCCCCCTGAGCCATTTATGGCATTTTCGTCCCACTTATAAGCTGCGCTACGCCATATATCACTTTGGTATCCATTTGGTTATGCGCAGGGTCTCGATCCTTGACCTTGGCCATCACCACTGGGAGACTCGGTTGATACTCCCACTCGCCTCTCCTCCCCCTCTGCGGCTACCTTTAAGTCGGGCATGTCCCACTACAAGAGGAAT